CAATGCCAACCAGTAACCCGATTCGAACGTTGGGGAAGCTATTCTGCATATTCGTGGCTACCATGGCCGCGGCAGCAGTTCCGTATTCTCCATCAGGTAAGACAGCGATGACGACGTTATGTTCCCCAATTCTGCCCAATGTGTAATGATTAGTGTCGCCCGGCGACACAAAGTCTGGTGCCTCATGCTCTTCATCAAGAAATTCTTGCGCCGCTGCGTATTCTGTTACTATGGCGCAGATCCAGCCGACAGTATAATCCGTAGATTTTTTGGCAGGAAGGATCGCTTGCTGGGGCGCAAATGTAGACTGGTTGAGGGGAGAGGGGGAACCGTTCTGCTCTGCAGTAGGAGGGCCGGTACTTGCAGGGACCGGCGAGGATTGCGAAGTGGAATTTGGGTCAATCTCGATCTCTTGCTCCGAAGGGCTTTTTCTGCGCGGTGTCTCTAGGATAAAGGGTGATCTCCGCCTGGCGCTCGAGCGAACTATGATAAACCCCAACCCAAGCAGGAAAATCACCATAACGACCTGTGCAGCGCTTTTCATCTTGGGCAAGGAAGACTGTCCAAAAGCAGGGGGGTGAAGAAAAATAAAGAAAATCAATATAGAATAGCAGTCTCTCTCTGTCTTCTGAGGATGGCAGATGGGATTTCAACCATGATGATCTAGCCAGCGTTCAGCCTTAAATTAACCCATCTCGGATGCCAGGCGTGGTCGAGCCGCTGCCCAATCTTACCTTCCTGCTCACTGCGGGGAAAACGCGCTGTGGTTGGGCAAGCCGCCACGCCAGTGGTCTAAAATTAGGCATGGCAGCGGCTAGAGCGTGCCAATCAACGATGTCAGAGCCAACGAAAGCCTGCAGGCTATCTAAAGGGCCATACCCATAAGAAGAGGCCAGCGCTTAGCAAGAACTGAATAATAAAAAGGCAGCTGTGCCAGAAACAAAGCAAGAGTAACCCTTTTCCTTTATTTTGTATTCTCACTTGTTCTTAAAAGTCCAGCCACCTTATATTATATCATTAACCGGCACTACAGCCAGTAAATGGAATCTGCTCCCCGTCTTCGAGTTCCGCCCCTGCAGTTGTCAGAGGAAATGGACTTTCTTAGTAATACCATACCCAAGGCTCGCAAGGCAAGACGACCAGTTCTTCTCTCGTTCAATGAGATGCCAGAATGGTTCCGGCGTGAATCCAACCAGTGGATTCATCAGGGCTATCGGCCTATCTCAGGCTCGTTTCAAGCTTCATTCTATAGTTGGTTGTATATGCACAACGAGACAGTGAACATTTATTCCCACCTTATCCCAGCTGTTCTCTTCCTACTTGGCGAGTGGCATATCCAGCAGTACCTTGCCAGCAGATACTCTGGGGTTACTAGCACTGATTTTATTGCTTTCTCTATCTTTGTGTTAACGGCAGTCACATGCTTGTCGTTATCAGCAATGTATCACACCCTGCTAAACCACTCCAAACACGTGGAGCATCTCTGCCTTCGACTAGACATGCTGGGTGTTGTGATTTTCATTCTGGGCGACCTTATTTTGGGAATATATATTGTTTTTTGGTGTGAACCTTACCCGCGCAATGTCTACTGGTGTATGGTTAGTGGTTCTCTATAGAAATCTGGTGCTTGAGTCTAACACTTTTCTTTCTTCAATCAACAGGTTGGATTATTTGGGATGTTGAGTATCTTTCTGACAATGCATCCCAAGTTCCAGGGCTCAAAGTATCGCATCTTTCGAGCATTAATGTTCGTGGCGACTGGCTTGTCTGGCGTTGCGCCATTAATTCATGGACTTCATGTATTTGGCATGTCACAAATGATGAGAAAAGCATTTCCCTATACTCTGGCAAAAGCAGGCTGCCTTTTATCCGGGACTTTAGTCTATGCTGTACGTCTCCCAATACCATGAATAAGAGAAATTAACCCTAATGCATATGTCTCCAAAGACCAGGTTTCCCGAAAGTCAATATCCTGGCAAATTTGACCTATGTGGCTCACATTCGATCTTCCACATGCTAGTGGTATGCGCCGCTGTTATTCAATTGACAGGGTATCTGGATGCTTTTGACAATGCACAGGCAAAGCTTACTTGCGTGTCGCTTTAAAATATATTCTTTTATCATAGGTCGGACTGTGGGGAGTAACCTCAGGCTGAGCTGGCGGTGGACAATGGTCGGACGGCGGGACGAGCGGGACAAAAAAAATGGGAGTGTTTAACTCACTGCCCACAGTGGAACCTGAAGAAACAGACGAGGTACAGTTCGAACGAACGATGAGGAAGAAATGTCGTCAGATTATACCTAGAATACTCGACTTTCAGAGACTGGTTCGAAAGTTCGTTTGAGCTCCTAATTTGTGAAATTGCATCCAAGCACTATTAGTTTACGCGCATAGAATTGATATATGAAGAAGCCATTAATCATACATGAAGATGTAGCTTAAACTTAAAAAAGCCCGGTACCCAAAACAAGTATGGAATATTTTCCCCTGTGTTAGGTCACTTTTTCGCTTTGCTTTGCGCCTTAGCTTGGGCTTTTGTTTGTGCTCTGCGTTTCTTTCGTGATTTCCTTTGCAACTCAATCTTGGCCTTCCTTACCCCTTCAAGTTTCTTTTGTTTTTTCTCTTGCCTTTTAGCCCGGAGTTCCTTTTGTGCTTTTCTGTTGCGCTTAGTCTGAGCCTTCTGCAGTTTAGTTTTCCTTCGGGCTTCCCCTTGCGGCGTGTCCTGAGCCTTTCTTTTAGCTTTGTGAGCCTTCTCTTGCGCGACACAGGGTACGCTCTGCTTAGAATTGGTCGTCTTTCCAGGTATGGCTTGATATTGATCACCTTTATCCTTGTCAACTGCCCTTATTGGCCTTTTCGCGGCTCTCAACCCCTCCTCAACTTGGATACTTGGGCTAACCTCATTGTCTTGCATTATTTCGCCAACTCGCGTGCATAGTATACCCATAATAGTGAGAAGGGTGAGTCTGGCCAACGTGGAATGGAAAACCAGCCATAGAATAATAAAGAGGGAATGAATTGGGGCGACCTATCCACCTGTAAGTATCAGCTGGAGATAGAGTACATGTGCAGCCAAACCTTTCTTTCTTTAGGATTGTGAGCATTATCAGCAGAAAGCATTTGTCGTTCTGAGTGAGCTGCCAGCTCCTTTATTTGTAGCCCACCCCTAGCTTGTCCGACATCTCTCCAGGCCTTCTTTCTATTTCGCAGTCCGTATAACTCGATCCACGTGGAACTTTTGTCCACAGGCCATGTCTCGTATAAGAACTCTTTGCTTTCCGTAACTGTTGGATGAACCATCATAATCCGGTCCACGGCGCAGCGGCCTAATCGACCTTTGATAATCGGCTCCTCGATTGTCTGATAATATGAAAGACCGGACGGGTGCAGTCGTTGAGGTGGTGGGCATGAAAGTAATATGACTCTTTCGAACCTAGCTATGTGCCAAGCGAAAATTGCTGAGGCACCATGAATATACTTTTTCCATTGCTGCCGTGTTTTTTCTGCTCTCAAGCTTTTCGCGTGTTCTTTATCCATCAAAGGCCCCATAGCTATGGTCAGCGTCTGTAAGTGGTGCTTGTCTGCCCATTCTTGGGCTTCTTCGAAAGGTATGCCGCTCCAAAGCACCTGGCCATTGCGAATCCAGTTGGACTGAAATTGATTAAGAATTTGAGCCGCCTCGGAAACAGTCAGTTAATGACTAAAGGCCTGAATAAGCGGCGCTGAGGATTTCTTCTGGTGATGGACCCATTGCGAAATTTCTTCCGAATCCATGCTGCTTCCTTGCGCAAAGTTGAGCTCTGAGATGTTTAGTAACGATATAGGAGGCTCTCTAGTGCTCCGTCGCGTTCAGAAAGTGTGATCATAGGAAAGCTGGACGTCATGACTGAAGAACTAGGAGGCGTTACTTGTTTAAACAGCAGGATAGCACTAATGATATCTGGAGGGGGAGTAATGTACGCGGTATAGCACATAACCGGACTATAATTTCTCCACAATTAGGGACTTTATTCGATAAGCACTTTCAGTGAGGAAATATGAACTGATCTGGTGCTCCTTGAAGTTAGCCTCAGGATGCGCCTGATTGCCCAAACTTGGTCTAGCTCCAGCGTACCAGAATCAGCAAATAAATACTTTAGAAGAGACACTTCAATCATTTGATCAGTACAAGATTCAAAAAAAATGCATCTCAGGTTTAGGGGATAAAGATGAGTTTAAAGCGGGCCATCCTTGTTGTGCCCCATGGTCACCCACTCTTGCGCTTTCAGGGTGATCGTGGCTTCACCCGTCACCCCACTCATATTGATCCTCCAGGTTGCGCGACTGGTCCTGCTAAAGTTGTATCTACAAAACAAACCATGGTTACCAAGGAATCGAAAAAAGTGGGCCGACGATTCGCCAAGATTTACTTTCTCCAGGCTTCAGATCTCGGGCAACTTGGCTCTATGTAGGGGAGGAGGAAAGTGAAATCTTAGAGATGAGGCCTCAAAAATTCTTGCTTATCAATTTTGTGTCCAAGGCCGGACTTGTCCATCACGCCGGAGCCACCTGTTCAAGCGGATTTGATTGAAATGATACCCGCTCATCCAGAGCAATATGCTATTGATGTCGACTCTTCATACGCCGAAAGCCCCGAATATGCGACTGAGAGCTTGTCGCTTTCAATGCTCGACTATAGGTTTGAGCATGGGCGACACTACCATGCTTGGAACGACGGCGCATACTGGGTTTGCAGGAATCCCCTAATAAGCCCCGTTAAGATCCAATGCTGATCAGCCCGATTTGACTTAGCTGCTTCCCATCCCTCTCAGTTCGAACGCCTTAGATTAACCATGCCCAACGGAAACAAGTAACCAACCGTACCATGACGGCCAACAATACACTTAGTTTAATTTTTTTTCTTTTTTTGCCAGTATTAGATGTACTCCTCCAGTGGAAAGCCGGGAAGCGAGTAGCTTTGAGAGGTACAACAGAAATCGAACACATGATTAAGTGGGCCTTGAGCATTTTGCGATCAGTCATTTTGCTTTGATAATATCCTATTTACATGCTTAGATGACGCTAATGGTGATATTGACTAACCGTCCATAAAAGCGTTGCTAGCGTGACAAAAAAACTGCCGACACTCCATGCGGTACCCCAGTCAAAAAAGGATTTAGCAACAATAACCACCACTAAAAACGTTGTTGCAAACAAAGGCAAAACCACCTGCCGTGTACCTAGTATCCAGTCTTCCTTGATTACTATTCCCCGGAATCGGATCTCTCTTAATCCTGGACAGTGCCAATCGTTCCAAATGTTAAATTGGCTCAGAACATCCCTATCATGTATCCATTAGTACCGCCGGACTTCATAACTCTCACAATCAATGACCTTACTGGTGACTGTATACAAGGTTTGCTTGCTCAAGAAAATCATTCGAAGCAGCGAGGACAGGATTTGAGAAGACGTGCCTCATTAAGTCGAGCGTATCAAGGAGCAAAAGCTCCCTCCTGGCAGCACGCGATATCTTTAAGGGACAATCATCAATGCCGTCGATGTTTGGGAAACACTGAGAGCAAACGCATTCGGGGTCGCAATGTACTGTTCCTGTTTCACGACTGTAAAAGCAGTGTGAGGTTGGGGGATTGCAGTCTATAATATGTTGCAATCTTTTTCGCTCTTTTGGAATATCCTGTTCCAAATACATTCCAATATATTCACTTGTTCCGGTGCCGCTCGAGGCTTCCTTCAGACCTAGTACTGTGATCTTAACTTCTTAGTCAGTGAGCTTTTCACGGTAATACGTGTTATAACAAACCTCGGCAATGGCAACTCTCGTGACCCTCAATCCCATCAGCCTTTTCCTCCAGTGGCCTTTGCGAGTGTACCAGGCTGCGTTGATCTCTCTCCATGTAGCCACTTCATCTTCTGGGTTCGAAGCAGACACTGGCAGGACTGAGCAGCAGGATGTTTCACCCCAACATAGTAGAATCACGGCAGATCCATCTTCGGGAGATATTGGCTTTATATATTCCTTTAATTCCGATATCCGCTTCTTGTGTCTCGTCCTTCGAATGTCAAAACTATGAGAGGTTGATCCAGAGAAGTTTGTGTCGACATCTTCTCCACCTTCTGTTCCCTGTTCAATTCGTTCATTGACCACTAAGGTATCATTATTGGCCGGGAACAAAGATTGTAGCCGCCCATGGGTGCGATTATGGGCTGAGATTTCGGCCCGGCGTCCAAGCGCGATTTTACTTATGAGTGGAGGTGTCGAAGCCCGAGGATCGATCGATGTCGGCAAGGATGGATCTTCCTGGAGGAGAAGGGAAAGTAGCCTTACGATAAAATGTTGTCTCGAGTGGAGACGTCCGGGGTAATGGCCTGGAATAGATTCAGATGCTTGGCCTGGCAATTCTTCATCCACAGCCCTTCGTGCTGGCAGAAGTGCTTTGCGAGGAAGACGAAGATGATCCATTCCGCTTGATTACCCAAATTCCCACAGGAGCACACCGGGTTAAACGGAACATATATGGCAGAACGTCATGAGGCTACGGACTCCTATGCTGGCTTTGCGTGGCCCCAAGTTGCGGTTGTTTCACATACTCGCACTAATGCATTCATGCCCGACTTTCAGCTGCCTACTGTTGACGGATGGGTCTAATGCAAATATTAAAAATGCTCTGTGTCAGCCTTGTGCGGCTGTGTTTGCCTGACCTCCTCACCTGATCATCCCCGCTTGCTTTGTGCCCAACATAATCACCTACTCAAACCTCAGGACGGGCATTACTGGGGTCTTGTTACTGTACGATATGCAGCGGTGGCTCGTGGGATGCGGGGGAAGTTAAGACGTCGTTAGATCGCTAGTTCAGAAGCACCGTGGTGTTTCGTTTGTTTGCATGGAAATCTTCGAGAAAGTGTCACATGGCTACCCTGCTGCTCAATTAGGTAGTCACTACGGTAGCCTGGTGTCGACCTTTCGTGACCGCTGGCATTCTGCCCATCCATTTGAGCGATCGCATGTCCAGACACGTGTTGTACCAGCATGAACCAGACTGTCCGTCAGGCTTGCTTCACGACAAACTCCATGGCAGGGGTTGATGGGATCCGCTGCGGCTCTTTTACTTCTGTGGATCTCCGAGTCCGTGGCCATCCAACTCAGAGGCTTCTTGTGGGGGCATGGCGTTTCACACCAATCGCTGCTTTAGACGCATTGCTCTGGCATCGTTGATTGGCACGCTCTTGCCGCTACCCTGGCTAACTTTGGGCCGTTGGTGTGGCGGCTCGTCCAACCACAGCCCATCTTCCCCGCAGCGAGCAATGACGGGACGGGCACTGATTAACGGTAAGTTCGGCGTTGAAATAAAATGTTTGTTGTGTTTGCGGTAGCGGTTCACGTGATGGTAGTCCCGAGGAGGCCTGATCACTCCGCACAATGCAACCAGCGGCAGAGTTTCGTGGGATATCTGCCGAAAGATGAAATGTTAATGGGGAGAGCTATCTCACTAAATATTAGCCAGTAAAGTGGCTTTCATGGTCTTTCTCTCGCCACTCGATAACTAAGCCCAAGTCATGCCACTCTACGGAGTACACAAGGCCGAATATTGTCGGGTTTCCCGGCTTCCGTGATCCTCGCCAATAGTGGCTTTGCTTTCCTTTTCCGGCTGTTTGCCCTTGACAGAAAGTTAGATTTTCTGCCAAGAGTTACCGCCGAACACCTCTGCGCCGACCAATTAACTACACGTCATTCCGGCCCTGGATTCACAACAACGGGATGATGCAGGACAACAAACGGGAGTTTCTGGGCTTCAAACACCGTTTTTACGAGACTTGAATGAAACGAAAAGATATTCATTCCTGGCTCAGCGGGGTTCCAGAACAGAATCCAACCCCTCCTGCAACTCCACCAGCCAACATCGACGGTGGCCATCATACCAAACGGCAAAAGATGTCGCAGAGGGGAAAATCAACTTCCCGGAAACGCAGGATTCAGGATGACACAACTAGCTCGATCACTGATCTTACCGAACGTACCAGGTTCGATCCTTCCATTCAGAGCTCATCTGGAACCTCACGACAACGAAGCCCTGTGCGAGACCTACTTAATGAGCTCCCTCTGTCAAGCCCATCTATCCACTGCACTCGGCCGAAGTCTGTACCACTTCCTGATTCCGTCCGTTCCCTTCGGCAGGTTCTCGGTCTTGATTTCGGCGTCAAGCTGATTCCAGCTCCGCTCAAGGTAACCTAGACGACTCCTCAGAACAGTACCTAGTGCACTTACTAACTTGGTTTCGTATAATCTTAGGATAAAATCCGTTCCGAAGCCCCTGACGAAGCCATAGACATTCCAGACGCCGCGTTTTACGATGCTGTCAATGCGACACCAGATGAACTCGATGCATTGTGGCTGGATGTGACGGAAATATACAATGAGGCGGCGGAGGCCGAGGAGCATGGGCAGGATGAGAATGCTTGGGGCACTGGAGTAGTCCAGGCGATCCTCCGAAGAGGCGTCAAGCGCCACCCCATTCTTCAGTGGAAAAACGTGTTAGCTTAAGATGCTTGTCTACTATAGGAGGCTTGCTAACTAAAGAACAGACAAACACAGAGCATCGACCCCGGTCTCCTACCACGCCTACCGCACAAGAATGCAGTGAGCAAGAAGGTTGATTACACATTTGCATTTTCCATCCGAGACCCACAAGTGAAAGACATATATAACAACTTTTGGAACACCTTTCCAGATCAAACAGTCAGCCAGACAACAGACCCTTTTACAAAACGTGTTGCTCTCTTTTCGGGAATTGAAGTAAAACAGTCGAATGGCGGTAGCACGGAGGCACTGGTGCAACTCGCAATCTGGTTAGCTGCTGGGTTAGAGAAGTTGTCGCACTTACAAGGTCTCCATGGGGAGAAATCAGATAGTCACGTGCTTCTACCAGCCATTGGGTGGACAGTCATAGGGCATGACTGGAACCTATATATTGCCTTCAGAGGTTGCTTTGAAGGACAAGACAGAATCGTGAGTAGAAGCTATTGGGTATTCCCGTACCTTGCTAATGGTTCTTGGCAGTATGTGGACGGGCCTGTCGAAAGCCTCAGCGCCAGTACACGCACATACTACGGCATTTTTAAGCTAATAGATCTCGTTCGCAGGCTGTCATCATATGCCGAAGAGGTGTATTGGCCATGGATGAAATCAGAGATATTGACACCACCAGCGGATACGGACCGAGGAATGTAAATCTTGACGCGGGGAGCGAGAAACCCGTGATGGGCACTGTTCGAGGCTCGGCAGATGTAGCATTGGAGGAGACAAACTCTTGGGTACCTGGACGCATGGATCGGACTAGGAGCAGCCTGGCAAAGTATTCGCTCTCATGTGTCGTTTCTACCAGGGCTTCCGATAGCGCTGTTTTCCGATAGCGCTGTTAAATTGTTCCTACCTGTTAGTTGAAGCTTCTGCGTCGCTTTGAGCGCATGCACTATTCGAGCAGGCAACTCGCCTGGGTCATTGCCCAGACAAGACATTCGGGATTGTCATGGTGTCTTCTATACTGCGGCGACGATGCCGGACGTATTCCGTCAAGATCGTAGCGAGAACCCTGCTTCCAACCATCAGCGTGGATACTCCGGGTCGAACACATCACGGGCGAGCTTACTCGACCACCAATTAATGTAACGAGGCGTCAAGGAAAAGAGTATTGTCCCATGGAAAGCGACCAACTGGGCCGGCCGACCGGGAGAAGTCCTCTCGCTTTGAGTAGTTTCTACCTCAAACGAGGATCGGGGAGCTGTATCAGGATATAACAGCCGAAGTAATTAGACAACATGGAAGGCTTCTGGTAGACAATAAAATTGCCTTGGTGGATTGTCCCTACCTTAGACGAAGTTTTCGATCGCATATAGACTACGAGCGGGCGAAACAACTTGCGCAGTGCTTTCCATCTTGGGCGGGGAAGACTGTCCAAAAGCGGTTTGGAGAATAAAAATAAAGAAAATCAATTTAGAATAGCAGTCTGCGTCTTCTGAGGATGGCAGAGGGGATTTCAACCATGATGATCTGACCAGCGTTCAGCCTTAGATTAACCCATCTCAGATGCCAAGCGTGGTCGAGCCGCTGCCCAATCTTTCCTTCCTGCTCACTGCGGGGAAGACGCTCTGTAGTTAGGCAAAGCCGCCACACCAGTGGTCCAAAATTAACCAGGGCTGCGGCAAGAGCGTGCCAATCAATGATGCCAGAGCCAATGTGTCCAGCGAGCGCCTTGAGAAGCGATTGGTGTGGAAATTGCCGTCTGTGAAACAACATTTTGCTTGAAACTGCTGACAGGAATGGCCACGGTTCTTTTCGCCCCTAGTTGATTGTGCGGCTGGCAGCATGATGCGGGACCGGAGCTCCACAGAATTAAAAGAGCCGCTCAGCTGGTCCATCAGACTGTGGAATTTGGTGATGGACGGTTCGGTTCATGCTGGTTCAACTGAGGTGGGTCACGCGGGTGGGACGTGTCTGGGCGCGTGCGATCGCTCAA